CCCCCCCCCCCGACACACCACGCGTGTCCCCGCACCTCCCCCCGCCCCGCCCTCCCCCCGGGCCCCCCCGAGAACCCAATCACTGCAAATAAACAAGGGGGGAAGCCCCCAAAACAGCGCCGGCACCCCGCGACATCCTTTTATTATGCAATTAATTGGGATTTATATTAATGATCATTAATCAGCCCTCACCTGGGGGGGAGGGGCAGCTAATTACTAATTACAATTTCATAGAGCAATTAATTACAGCTCTACCCCCCTCACCCCCCGCGTTTTAGGGGTGATGGACCCCTCCCCCCGCACCCCCACTTTTGGGGTGCTGGTTTCATGGGGTGCAGGGCTCTGGGACAGGAGTGCGACCCCAGGAATGGGGTCTGGAGCCTTGAACGTGGCCGTAGGGGGGGTCTCCCACGGGCCCCCCCGGAATTTTGGGGATGGCAGGAAAAGCCTTAAAAAAAAAAAGAAAAAAGGAAAAAGATTTTTTCGCACCTTTGGAATATTTTGGGGTAAAAGGTGCTTTGAAGCCCCCCCTGTTTATGTCGGTATAAACCAGGTGCCCCCCTGCCCATGCCCCCAGGTGCCCCCCAAGGGGCTCTGTCCCCCTCAGGTGTCCCCCCACCCTCCCAGGGTACCCCCACTCACCGTCCCCCTGCTCTCCTGCAGTGCCCCAGGGCAGGGGGGCAGGACAGAGGGTCCCCACGGGCATGGGGGGGCACTGCCAGGCCGGGTCTCAGGTGGCCCCCCCCGGTGGGACCCCCCCAGTGTCCCCCAACTGCTGCTCAGCATCAGCATCGAGCTGCTGGGAAAAGGGGAGTTAAAAAAATATATCAAAATATTTAAAAATATATTAAAATTTCCCCCCTTGGAAAAACAGCAGATCTCCCCCAATAACAACAACCCACCTCCCAATAATAATTCAATTAATTTTAATTATTAACTTAATTCCAACCTCAAAAACTTCAAGCAGGAAAATCCCCATCATCTCCCCAAACCTCACATTATAGGGGGCTTGGGGGTCAGTTTTGGGGTGTCCCACTTGTTAAGACTCAATTTATTTTTAAATATTAAATTAATACCAACCTGATAATTAAGAAGCAAATCCCCATCAACCCCCCCATCAAACCCCACATTTTAGGGATGGGCTGAAGGTCAGGGGTCAGTTTTGGGGTCCCCAGAGATGGGGGTGCCCCCCAACAACTTAAAAATAAACTGAGTTACTAATTCCAAGCTGAAAAATGCCAAGAAAACCCTCACCAGCCCCTCCAAACGCCCATGTTATGGGAGAGTTCGGGGATACAAAGTCAGTTTTGGGGCCCACCTGGCAGTCCATCAGTACTGGGATGTACTGGGGGGTTTGGGGTCAGTTTGGGGTGCCCACCTGGCAGTCCCTCAGCAGTTGGATGTACTGGAGGGTTTGGGGTCAGTTTTGGGGCCTACCTGGTAGTCCCTGAGCACTCCCCTGAGTAGGCAGATGTACTGGGGGATTTGGGGTCAGTTTTGGGGTCCACCTGGCAGTCCCTCAGCACTCCCCTCAGCAGCTGATGTACTGGGGGATTTGGGGTGAGTTTTGGGGTGCCCACCTGGCAGTCCCTGAGCACTCCCCTCAGCAGTTGGATGTACTGGGCCGCCGCCCGCAGCGTGTCGGCCTTGCTGGGCCTGCGGTCCCGCGGCACCAGCGGCACCAATGTCCGGAGCCGGGAGAAGCCGCTGTTCAGGTTCCGGATCTGGGGGACAGAGGGACCCCCAAGGGGGACCCAGTGAGAGACCGAGGGGTCACCCCTGGGGTGCACCAGGACCCCTGAGTTAGGCCAGGACCCCCCGGGGTTAAGCTCTGAAGCCCAAGATTAGACTGGGACCCTCACGGGATTTGACCGGGTTCAACAGGGTTGAACCCGACACCCCAGAACTAAATTGGGGTCCCTCCACAATTCAACCAAGAATTAAACCAGAATTAAACTTCATGATCGAACTGGACTCTCTGGAATCAAAGTGGGGCTCTCACAGAATTAAACTTGGCTCCCCAAGATTTAACTGGGGCCCTTCAGGATTGAACTGAGCCCTCCTAGAGTTAAACTGGAGTCTTTAAGATTAAACTGTAGCCCTTACAGGATTAAACTGGGTTCACTAGAATTACACTTGATCCCTCTAGAATTAAACTGGGGTCCCCAGCAATAAACTGGGGCCTTTCTAGAATTAAACTGGGTTCCCCAAGATTGAACTATGCCTCCCCACAGGATTAAACTGGGTCCTCCCAGAATTAAATGCCAGGATTAAACTAGGGCCTCCTAGAATTAAACTGGGACCCCAACATTAAACTTGCCCCTTCCATGACTGAACTGGGCTCCACTAGATTTAAACTGGGGTCTCCGGGATTACACTGCTGCCTTCAAACTGGGCTCTCCTAGAGCTGATCTGGGGTCCCCAAGATTAAACTAGGTCCTCTACAGGATTAAACTGTGCTCACCAGAATTCAACCTGGCCCTCCTGAAATTAAACTGGGACCTCAGAATTTAACTGGGGCCCTTTTAGAATTAAACTGCTTCCCACCCCCAGGATTAAACTGGGTCCTGGATTTACCCGGGCTCACCAGAATTAAACTGTGCCCTCCTAGAATTAAACCAGGTCCCACACAAATAAACTGGGACCCCTCCAGGATTAAACCAGGCTCCCCAGCATTAAACTAATCCCCTGCACCCCCAAACTAAACTGAGCCTTCTGGGATTAAACCGACCCCTCCAGGATCAAACTGGGCCACTCAGATTAAACTGAGTCCTCCTAAAATTGAACTGACCACCCGTGGATGAAACCAGACCCTCCTAAAATTTAACAGCCCTCCCACCCCCCACACCCCCCTCCGGATTAAGATGGGTTCCTCAGAACCAAACTCAGCCCTCCCAAAATTTAACTGGAGCCCCCCCAGGATTAAGCCAGGGCCCCTGCAGGAGCAAACTGGGCCCTCCTAAAATGTAACTGGGGTCCCTCAGGATCAAACCTGCCCCCCTCCCCAAATGCAAATCCCCCCCAGCCCCTCGCTGACACCCCCGGGGGGTCACTGCCGGTGCCCCCCGCTCGAGCAGCCCTGGGGCTCCCACCACGGTGGGACACAGCCCCCAGCCCCCCGGGGTGCGATCCTGGGGGGGCCAGCGGGGTCCTGGGGTCCCTCACCCTCTCTCTCTCCTTGGCGTTGGCCGCCTGCCGCCGCTCCAGCACCTCGGCCAGGTCGCCGGTGGGCTCGTACTCGCCCCGGGCCCCCCGGCGCAGGCGGGCGATGGGGGCAGAGCGGGGCAGGGGCCCGAACTGCCGGCTCAGCACCTCCTCCAGCACCTCGGGGGGCGGCGTGGGCTGCAGGACCCCCGGGGGATGAGGGACCCCCATGGGCAGTAGGACCCCTGAGGGATCAGGGACCTCTGAGGGATCAGGGACCTCCACGGGCTGCGAGATCTCCAAGGACTGAGGGACCTCTGAGGGTTGAGGGACCCCTGAGGGCTCAGGGACCCCCTCCAGCCCCTCCTCAGCTCCACCGGGCTCCCCCATCCTGGGAAGGGACCGATGCCGCACCTCGCAAGCTGACACCCAAAATGGGGGAAAGTGACCAAAACCAGGAGCCTTAAATAGCCCCGAGGCCAGCGAGGCTCAGGTGGGGCTCATCTGGGCCTGATGAGGGGCACAGGGCGGGGCAGGGGGTGCTCTGCCTGCACCTCTTCTCCACTCCCCCTCCCAGCCTGGGAGCCACAGAGCCCCGACCCCAGAAAGGCACCCCAAAACCATCCTGATCCCAAAAAGGCACCCCAAATCATCCTGGGGGACACTGGGGGACTGTGCAGAGATGGGCACTGGGATTCACTCCACAGGGAGAGATGGGTCGGTTTGAGAGGCCTCGTGTGTCCCCAGAGATGTGGGAAGCGCTTTTGGGTGGGGAGAAGAGAACTATGAGGATTAATAACACGAGGGCTGGCTCGGTAGATGGCAGTGTTAGTCCCTGCCGTGCTGGAAAACTGAGGGAGGCTGGAAAAAAAAAAAAAAAAAGGGAAAATCTCCCCTTTTCCCCCCAAAACTGAAGCCAGGTCACCCTGGGTTATTCACTGTGGAGGGAATCTCACCCCAGTCCCACCACTGGGATGGATTCCCCCTCCCCTCTGGTGTTTTCATGGGGAAAAGCCCTCCAAGGGGACTCATCCTGCTTTTCTGGGGGATTTGAGGGCTCCAGAGAGGAGTGGGTGCTCTGTGGGGGTGGGGGGGGCATGGACGTGTTCCCCCATGGAGGGTTGGGGCTGCTGTGCCTCAGTTTCCCCAAACCTGGAAGCACCTGAGGGACATTCCCAGCTGTTCCAGGATCCTGGAAATTTATTCTGTGTCCGTAGGAAGAGCAAAGGTGGGAAGCAAATTGTAAAGAACCCCCTTAATGGCCACAAAATGAGCCTCCGAGGCACCTGGAAGTTAATTGAGGTTTTAACTAGAACCTGAAAAAACCCAATTTCCCCCTCTTTAATGCTCTTTAATGAGCTTCCCTATCCCACAGCCGGCTCTGGATAATCCCATTATTCCTGCCCCAATCTGGGCATAATTTCAAGATCTGACAAATTGATCCAAGGTGTGAAGTCACCCCAAAATGGGTCTGTGCCCCGGTGCTCACCTGGATTCACCTGTGGGAGCATCCAGAGGGAACTGGGAGGGTTGAATCTCCCCAGTTGGGGTTTGCTCCTTCTCTGTGTCCAGAAAAGCTGGGAAATGCTCCAGGTTGGATGGATGAAGATTAAATATTGAGGGGAAAAGTCAGGAGCAGGAGATGGAAAAGGGCCTGCTGGAAATGGGGTTTGCAGGGGATGTGCCCCAAGGGGGAACAAGTGGAACTGGGGGGAAAGGAATGGGGAGTCACAGTTATTTGGGATCAGGATTATTGGGGGTCATGGCTATGAGGGACCCAATTCTTTAGGGGTCACAGTAATTTGGGGGCCAGGGTTATTAGGGACCACATTTTTTAGGGGTCATTTTTTTTAGGGGTCACAGTTATTAGGGACCACGGTTATTAGGGACCACATTTTTTAGAGGTCACAGTTATTAGGTTTTGGGGCTATTAGAGGTCACAGTTATTAGGGCTCCTAGTTGTTAGGGACCATGGGTTTTAGGGCTCACTGTTTTTAGGGATCACTATTATTAGGGACCATGTCTTTTAGGGCTCATTTCTAGGGGTCACAGTTATGAAGGACCATGGGTTTTAGGGGTGATAGTTATTGGGGATCACAGTTATTAGGGTTTGGGGTTGTTAAGGGTCACAGTGATTAGAGACTGTGATTTTAAGGGATCAGGGTTATTAGTGGTTATGGTTATTAGGAACCACAGTTTATTAAGGGTCATAGTTTTTAAGGACCGTGCTTTTTAGGGGTCACAGTTATTAGGGACCACATTTTTTAGGGATTTTTTTTTTAGGGGTCACAGTTATGAGGGGTCAGGGTAATTAGGGTTCACCATTATTAGGGACCTCATTTTTCAGGGATCACAGTTATTAGGGGTAAGGGTTATTAAGGACCATGTTTTTTAGGGATCATAGTTACTAAGGGTCAGAATTATTAGGAACCTCATTTTATACAGCTCATGCTTTTTAGGGGGCAAAATTATCAGGAGTCAGAGTTATGAGGAGTCACACTTAGGAACAGGAGCTTGGGAAGGGCTGAATTCCTGTAAAACAGCGTCCCAGCAGTCTGGGGGTGGTTTGAGCCCCCAGGAATGCTGCTTTCCAAACTTTCAGGCTCAGTTATGCCTCTCATTTTCTGTCTCTGAGCGTGGCCAGAGCAGGAGCCAGGTCCCAGTGCCCCATCCCAGAACGGTGCCCAAATCCAGGTGTCTCCACCCCTTTGGTGTCACCCCATCCCACCCACCCCGGGGCTGTTGGGATCTGACATTTCCCAGTGTCACAAGACTGGAAAAACAACCCATTGGTGTCCAGTTACAGGGGGTGGATTAGGGTGGGAAGGTCAGGGAAGGGGGACAGTGCCAGGGCTGATCTGGGCCTGGGGCAGCTGTTGGCACAGGATTAAACCTCAATCTTTCCTGGCATGGTCCCAGATGTCTAGGAAGTGGCCGGTCCGTGCCAGAGCCGCCGGCCTTGTGCCGGCTCTGCGGTGCCCAGATCCCAGCCAGGGGTGCAGAGAATGGGAATAAAACACTCTGAGGGGGTTTATGGAGCCGTGGCATCACCTCCGGCCACTTCCACGTATCCAGCCTCCTCCTTGTGCTGCCAAACATATCCCAAGACACTCACTCTCCTGGGAAGCTGCACCCTGCATTTCCTGGCATCATTCACAACCTGGTCCCTGAGCTCTCCAAGGGTCGAGCCTGGCTTGGCATTGGGACCCCCATCCCACTTCCAGTGGGTTCCAGAGGCCTGGGGGTGGGTTTGTAAGATGCCAGTGTTGGGAAATGCGGGAGAGAGAGTATCCATATGGACAGGAAGGCTCCTGGAAAGCTTTTATCCTGCCATTAAAGCCATGAAATCCTCTCTCATGCTGCCATTGATGCTGTGGGTGACATCAGGATCCCCATATCCCAAGTACCTTGTCTTTTTCAAATATCCCGGTGGGAGGGAGAGATCTGTCCTGCTGAGCTTTCCCAGCTCACGCAGAAATTTGAAGGAATATTTGAGAGGGAAATCCGGAGGCTGCGTTTGTATCCAGCCCCGGGGTTGATGCTGTGGGATGTGCAGGTGGGTGGGTTCCCAGTGCGACGCCCAGGGGGCTGGGGAACATCCCGGGGAAATCGCCATCCTGCTGCATCCCAACCTGCTGCATCCCGGCCAACCGCTCCTCCATCCCCTCCTTATAAAGGGATTATTTATCCCCCCTTTGTAAGGAGAGGCAGGGGGTGGGGCACCGGGAGGTGGGGATTGTCCCCGGCCACCCACCGAGATTCCCGGGAGTCCCACGCTGGGAAGGGGCAGGTCTCGCCCCTGCCGTGCCGGGATTATCCATGAGGCGGGAGAGACAATAGGATTTATGAGCGCGGTGAGGATTCCAGCAGGGACGGCCGGGCTGTGGGGCTCAGCATCCCTTGGA